TCGTCATATATTATATTCAGTTGCTGCCACAAGTCCAAAGAACGCGAGAAATTGTAAACAATAAATGAGAATCAAAAACATTATTCAGATAATTTTGTCTTTATTACTTTTTTATTTACTTTTTATTTATTTTTCCCCCGACCGACCCATGTTCATAATTTGGTGGCTACGTGAAACACATAAAGAATTGATGCCCTAAGTCTGACGTAATGCTTAATCGCCCAATGGGTTGGTTTGGTTGTTTTATAGTTTTAGGGCGACGTGGGCCAGTAAGAGGCCTATTTGCGCCCAACACATTGACTTGATTTAATAAACAATCATACGTAATTTCATTGCCAAAAGGAATCGTTTAGCTAAGATAAAAGAAACGACAACACTATTAATTTGGATAGATGTATACATATATGGAATAACCTCTGCTTCGTGTTACGGATTAAAAACCTTAAGTAATCACTTCCATTTCTGAAACATGAAATACTCATTCAATAAAAAGCAGTAGGTTCAGATGACAGAGTGTTAAAATGATTTAAAACCACAGAACTATATCTGTCTAAGCCATTCGAGAGCCTGTCTAGATTACATCATATTTGCCAGATGACGAGACAAAATCTAAAACTGCCCGTTGCACAGACCCATACATGATATTGGGGCCCAAACCTGTTTCTAATGAGAATACATCATCAACCTCAAGTACAGCACTTCTGAGATTTTGTCTTATGTTGTTATGCCCAGGGCATGTAATTAGATAATGTTCGATGTTTTCAGGCGTCTCCAAATTGTTAATCGCCCAATGGTTGGCGTATGAGTTGTCCCCTTTAATAACAACTGGGTTGGAACGCAACTTAAATTGCTAGCAACTATACAACTTCCTTCTCTTGAATTTAATCTTTCATGTCGAAAAAATATAACTCCCAACACTTAATCAGTGCAGTTGCTATGGAACTATTTATATTGTATCAGTGCGCAGAGTCCAACTCATTTGTCTGTGACGTCACAGGTCTGTTTGTTATCGCATTGCCAGCAGGCGATTAGTACGTGGTGTCGTTACGACCGACTGTATGCCAATGGAGTTCAACAACTTGACTCAGTTCACGGAATAATTTTTAATTCATTGGATAACGATGGCAAAAGGTAGAAAATATGCAAGGTGTACGAAAACAGACGGAATCTGGGTGAGTCAAACTATGCATTAATTAAAACAATGTTTGCAGTTAATTTCGTAATTATAAGACGTCAATATTGAAGAAATTAATTAACCTATTAAAACGACATAGCTTTAAGGTATATATGCTGTTAAGTATAAGGTACAAGTGAAAAAAACTATTGAGGTATTGAGTTGCAAATTTAGCATAACTATTAGAAATTGTATTAAAACATTATGAAAATGTCCCTTTATACAGTGTACGTGTTGTGTTCTATAGAGCACTGTGTAACATGGATCGTGGATTTAGCTACTGATTTCTGTCGATGAGATATAAATAACGGCTTGACATCAAAGTTATGAAGCTAAGCAAACATAATGAATCATGCAAGGAGATCGCAAACATTGCTGCATTGTCAGCCGTACATGCAAATAACAGCAGTATCATTGAACCGATATCGAACACTAACGATACACGGTAGCCTTTAGTTAGCTTCATTAGTTCTCTCTCCAGCGCGTTGCTATGATGGGTGCTTTCCGGTATTTGGGGAAAAAAGTTGGAATTCAAGCAAGATTAATGCATTTAATGTCGAACATCAAGGATCAGTATTCTGGTAATATCATCTAATGCCGATTATCCCCAACAAGCGTGAATGCTAAGATCATTTCGTTGTGAGTTGATTTCTAAAGCTTGTGCTGGCGTTTGAATTAATTGTAATTGATTCTCGAAGCTCTGGAAGCTTAGATGTGAGCTTCTGAATACTTTTGAGCTATACTTGAAAGCCTGTGAGAAATGTTTTTGAGGAAAACGTGAATACGCCGTCTAAGAGATTTTGAATTGTACCGAGTGAATTAATCTCGCTCAAAAGATTGCACGAAAGAGAGTGTGTGTGCGTGCGTTGGTTATAGAGAGGGAGTGGTGGTGGTGGTGTTTGTGCGTACGTGCGTGCGTGTGTCGAATCTGGACTAGGCAAACCAATGGCAATTTTTCGAGCTTCCACGGCGCAGACTGACCAACCGATCCACATGTGTTCCCTCCCTCTAACCACAGTGTCTAACGTTGCTGTACGTTTGAAAGCGATGATGAATACTAATGTCTACAGCGTGTTTTACACCGTTTCGCCATTCTTCGCTGTAATTTAAAACTAAGGGACAGTTATTAATTTATGGCCGGATGTGGGTGGGGGTGATGATGATTTCGGGGATGGGTCTTCACCAATTTTGTTCTGGGGAGGTAGGGGGTCAGCATTTGTGTACATAAAAATGTTAAAAATAAAATATTATGCTTAAAAAATATGGGAAGGGAGATACAACATATTTATTTTTTTCACCTTAGTCCAACAGCATGACGTAACCACGTGCTTAAACACTTCTTAGTTATCATCAATGGCGTTGATAAGCTTATCGCCTGATTACGATTCCCTGCTACTTAAAACACGCCAAAGCTTGAGATAAATTTTATGTTTTGCCCTTCACCGACTTAGCTATGCCCACCGGATTAACATAACCGGATCTTATACGGTCCAAGTTTCCTCTTAGCCGCTCTCTTCGGTGTAAGCATTTAAACAACCGACCTATCACGAAATGAACGGCCCATGTTTAGTTTTAATAGCGTATTTGTACATGAAACTGCTGTTTAAGAGTTCAGTCCGATATTTGACAAAACTCCTTAAACTGTTATCAAAGTTTGAGAATAGATATAAATATATATTTGATATTAACGTTTAGAGTTATCTTTATTGTTTCAGATAAGCTGTTTTTAGTCTTTAATCTGGCTTCATAGTTTATACTTTTAAACTTTCTTTTATATGTATAACATCTTTCACGTCAACGTTCCTATGTTAGTGGAACGTTCCTATGTTAGGTGGTATTAGAACGCGCCATTTATGGAATAGTCGATCAAACGATGTCTACATCCCACGCATAAAACCGTTTATGATTCAACGTACATGGACGCATTTGCTCAAATGTGAGAAAATTATTAAGTCGAAACTCAGACTTAAGTTTGTTTCAAGAAATCGGGGCCAGGTGGCTTTCGGATGACGAAAAGAGACATAGACAGACAGACAGATTGTTTATTATAGTCTCACCTCGTTACAGTCATTTTGATAAAAACGGACATACTTAATATATACATGATGAAAACTATACATAACCTAAGACAATATAAGCGTAAAAGTAACGAGCCACCCTGTACAGTTATGAGAGACTTATAACATATATGAAGACTGCGTTCTCTCATCGGACGAGTCCTGAGGGCAGGGACCATTGTTTACTGGAATATCTTACAATGCCGACTTCTCCTCAATGTAATACCAGCACTGTCTTAACTCTGGTATATATACTGAGGGGGAAAAAAAAGGGATCAAATGAAAGCACAACTGTTCCTTTAATTTTTTCCAGGTTTCTTCACAAGCTATAACATACAAAGCTTGTGAAGAAACCTTGGAAAAAAATAAAGGAACGCTTGTCCTTCATGTTATCCGTTATTTTTTCCCTCAGTATATGTTCTGTAAAACCGGATTAGCCCAAAGGCTATCCTTGCAAGAGACCAAGTGGTTGAGGCGATCGCCCGTAGCGCCAAAGGTCCGGGTTCGATTCCTCGTACGATACAATATGTTAAACCTGTTTCTGGTGTCACATGGCATGATGCTTCGGATAAAAAAAATAAAACAAAACTCACACCAACCAATGCACACATATAAGTGATAGCTCAGTTGCACCAAATGATGTGAAGACAGGTTGACGATATTGTTTTTTGAAGATGTTTACGAAAACATTTTAAAGTCTGTATTGAAATATATACACCACCATATCAAGATAGTTTCAATGATATAATACGCGTATCTGCATCCGTGTATCACTACATACTGGGTACCAGGGTGACCAGTTGCCTATGAAACAGAAAGTTTGTGCAGAGTTACTTCCCTTGGGTGTGTCATGATCCTAAGATTATGTGTTAGATTCTCCCTGATTATCATCCATGGTTTGCCGCTCTATACCAACGTAGAAGACTGGAACCACTTTAGGTATACCGCATACATATCACTATTAAACTGACAAGCCTTGATTTAAAAAATAAAATATAAAGCTAAAACACACATGCACATTCACACTAAACCCTTGACCTGGAGATCACAAAGCCCAAACTAAACACATGTCTTGTTTAATTAGTGTAAGAAGCGCTCGTACAATAAGCCATACATCCGCGGTGAATCATGTAGGCACTCAAACGTCTTGATTCTAAACCTGTACCACTGGTGGTGGGTGGTTGTAGATGAAGAAAAGAGGTAGTTGCAGCTGTCGCGATAGTCGTGTTGAAGTCACAATCATCCATAGGAATGAAAGGAATACATTTTGTAAAAACAACATTTATTAGGTAGCGTCTCCATGTTCTATTATTTAAACGAATCTAATTTTCCACTCCTTACAGAATTCAATCAATATTAAACTCGGGGGATATTGATTCGGGAGCTGATAACAAGAATTCCTTTATTATACAGTCCATTTTTTTTAAGCACTGCATATGTTTTATTCTGCTAACACAAGACGAGGCGAAATGCACCCAACGTTAACAGATTTACAAGATTACATTCTCCCGTGTTCCTGTAAGTCAAAGCTATCTTATTCACAAATCAGCTATTGAAAATCTTACGATCTAGCACCCTTATTTTTAAGAGACCGTGCGTTTAATTCACCACATTGTCACAAGTCCTATTGACGGTGACAACAACGGCTAGATATCAGAATACATATCTTTCGCGTCCCCAAATCCCGTCGATCACGTGACTGCATCGATCTATTGATATCCACCGAGGCCTGACGTCCCATTGATTTTTATCAAAGGAAATTTCGAGCATTGAGAAACACTACTGACACTTCGTTGGCGTGGGTATCGTGTAATGCTCCGAGGGTATTCGTCGTAAATGAAGTATTTAACTATCACAATGCTTGTATTTACCTCGACACTCTGACATACCTGTAATCAACCGACACATCTATACCGACGTTGTTTACCTGGGAGACGGGCAACGGGTGCCCGTGTTTCTGTTACTGATCTCTACTGAAGTCTTACAAATGTTGCACAAATCGACGCGGATTTCATAGATATCGGAAAACAAAAAATGGTGAGTTTATAAAACATTTTCCTATTGAATATTCTGATGTATCGATACATAATTAACTTGGAATATGACCTTCACTATTTCAAACAATAAATAGCAATTGCTAACAGACGTGTCAGCGGATTATATACAACAGAAAATGTTATTGGTAACGGAATAATACTTTCTTTCAAACACAAATATATTTAGGAAATATTTTGCTCATGTATATTTATTTTAAAATATGATAATTTACAGTTTGGTAAAACTTATCCAAACTGACAAACAGCTATTTCAAAGAGTTTTACAATATAATATTTAAAACTATTGTTAATAATGAAATTTATCTACATTTATTAATATTAAGTGTGATGTCATGTATATATCATTTTTTGCAAAACACCTATTGCGTGTATGTATACAAAGAAACATCTTAGGGCAGCGGAATCAGAAGACAGATAAGGAAGTAGACCGATAGTGAGGAAGTGGAATAAAGATTTGAAATGCTAGACGTAGGTACGGGTCTTCGTTGTGTTAACTTCATTATACGTTACGGCACCTCTGGATCCGTTATCAGATACTTTCCCTACCCAAATTTTACAAAAGTTAAATAACTAATATTATAAAATGGCAACAGATTACGTTATGCTGCCATGTATCCATTCAGCGAATTCAGGGACGGTGGGGTAGCCTAGTGGTTAAAGCGTACGCTCGTCACGCCGAAGACCCGGGTTCGATTCCCTACATGGGTACAACGCGTGAAGCCCATTTCTGGTGTCCCCAGGCGTGATATTGCTGAAATATTGCTAAAAGCGTCGTAAAACTAAACTCACTCACTCAGCGAATTCAAGTGAACCAACAGGTGATGTCAGACTCGTTCCACAAATGTCAAATTTGCAATAAACATCACCATTATTTATCGTTTAAATTGCATTTCCGGTTCTGCTGGAATTGTTATATCTGTAGAGATTATGATAATCAGTTCCAAGATACATAAACATATTCTCGAATATAACATAAAGTTAATGCTGGTTTCCATAGAAACAGAATGTCGTGACAAGAACAGCGTGCATTCCTGCATGTGTCAGTCAACAGTGACGTGACAAGGTGCATTTATAAACTACATATGCCTCAAGTTGCTATTGACACGACAGGAAGAAGAAGAAAGGTGTGGGTGTGTTACTGCAGGGTGAGAACACGTGCAGGTAACAAAGCGATATGTGTAAATGGGACGTTTGCGAAGCCCATAATCGTGATCGAATAGTTGAAAGCGTCATAAATGTGTCAACATCATTAAAACGAGATGTGCGTAAGTCTGTTTGTGTTTTAATGTTCAAATATCCATGTACCTGAAATTTGTCCCCGTGGCCAAGAAAAATCCTCGATACTTTTGTTCGACTCGCTCTCACATTTGAAGGAACGTGGGAGTGTGGTCACGAGAGTCACTATCTTTAGGATAATGCTTTTCTGATATATCCTTTACATGTTTCGGATAATTCATTTCTGATATATCCTTTATATCCGTAGGATAATACATTTCTGATATATCCTTTACATGTTTGGGATAATGCATTTTTGATATATCCCTTTTATCCGTAGGATACTGCGTTTCTGATATATCCTTTACATGTTTGGGATAATGCATTTCTGATATATCCCTTATATCCGTAGGATACTGCGTTTCTGATATATCCTTTACATGTTTCGGATAATGCATTTCTGATATATCCTTTATATCCGTAAGATAATACTATTTCTGATATATCCTTTACATGTTTGGGATAGTGCATTTCTGATATATCCTTTACATGTTTGGGATAGTGCATTTCTGATATATCCCTTATATCCATAGTATACTGCGTTTCTGATATATCCTTTACATGTTTGGGATACTGCGTTTCTGATATATCCCTTTTATCCGTAGGATACTGCGTTTCTGATATATCCTTTACATGTTTGGGATAATGCATTTCTGATATATCCCTTATATCCGTAGGATACTGCGTTTCTGATATATCCTTTACATGTTTGGGATAATGCATTTCTGATATATCCCTTACTCCGTATATACTGCGTTTCTGATATATCCTTTACATGTTTCATGATATATCCCTTATATCCGTTGGATACTGCGTTTCTGATATATCCTTTACATGTTTGGGATAGTGCATATATGCCCTTATTTTGATATATCCTTTATATCATTTCGTTGTAGGATACTGCGTTTCTGATATATCCTTTACATGTTTGGGATAATGCATTTCTGATATATCCCTTATATCCGTTGGATACTGCGTTTCTGATATATCCTTTACATGTTTGGGATAGTGCATTTTGATATATCCCTTATATCCGTAGGATACTGCGTTTCTGATATATCCCTTTACATGTTTGGATAGTGCATTTTGATATATCCCTTATATCCGTATGATACTGCATTTCTGATATATCCCTTATATCCGTTGGATACTGCGTTTCTGATATATCCTTTACATGTTTGGGATAATGCATTTTTGATATATCCCTTATATCCGTTGGATACTGCGTTTCTGATATATCCTTTACATGTTTGGGATAATGCATTTTTGATATATCCCTTATATCCGTTGGATACTGCGTTTCTGATATATCCTTTACATGTTTGGGATAGTGCATTTCTGACAGATCCTTTAAATGTTGGGATAGTGCATTTCTGATATATCCTTTATATGCTTGGGATAATTCTTTTCTGATATATCCTTTATATCCGTTGGATACTGCGTTTCTGATATATCCTTTACATGTTTGAGATAGTGCATTTCTGACAGATCCTTTACATGTTCGGATAGTGCATTTCTGATATATCCTTTATATGCTTGGGATAATTCTTTTCTGATATATCCTTTATATCCGTAGGATAATGCATTTCTGATATATCCTTTGCATGTTTGGGATAGTGAATTTCTTATATATCCTTTATATCCGTAGGATAATGCATTTCTGACATAACCTTTATATCCGTTGGATAATGCATTTCTGATAGATCCTTTGCATGTTTGGGATAGTGCATTTCTTATATATCCTTTATATCCGTAGGATAATGCATTTCTGACATAACCTTTATATCCGTTGGATAATGCATTTCTGATAGATCCTTTGCATGTTTGGATATAGTGCATTTCTGATATATCCTCTATATGTTTGGGATGCTCTCTCTGATATATCCTCTATATGTTTGGGATGCTCTCTCTCTCTCTCACACACACACACACACACACACACACGCCTACCTCTGGGTCCACCTTTAGGCATCCATTTTGTAATTTGTTGAGACAGAACCATATCATCGTGTGTTCGGATGCCAAATTACCGGATCACACTATTTTATGTTTCCATGTTTATCGGCGCAGTACCTAACCACCACTAAACATCATTTAAATATATAATACACCTCTCCCTCACTGAAATCCCTAATTTTTGCGTTCTCTGGCTAACACACACACACACACACACACACACACACACACACACAGTCCGTCACTGTACCCTTGCGTGTTTTCGCTGTACTACAACGCTGTACACGTCCCTGTGAAGAGTTGCCTCCCTTAGTCCTGCCAGTATCAGATGAACATAGGTTCGAATCCAAGAATCGCCCTCAGAAATACACCTATCCCGTCTCTGATGAAGGAAATGGGACTGTGGGGTAGCCCAATGGTTCAAGCGTTCGCTCACATGGTTACAATGTGTGAAGCAAATTTTCTGGTGTCCCCCGCCGTGATATTTCTGGAATATTGCTAAAAGCGGTGTAAAACTAAACTCACTCACTCACTGATGAATGAAATGATTTACGACATCTAAGGTCGTAACTGTGGCAGTCAACACAAAGCCTCAAGTATTCCGCTTGACCTACAGGTATAAACTTTACAGTGCTGGAAGACTAATTGTGTTTGTTGACGGTTTATGTGTTGTGTACAATAAACACTACAACGTGCATGTAATCGATCTGTGGCGGCCGATCTTTCCACAGCACTGCCAAAGGGGATTCAGGAAAAAGATATTTTTCATTGCACAGATTGCGACCTTTTCATTGTAAATAGGTTTCGGAGCTACACTGTGGCCCGTCATCACGTTGCAGCAAACCCACGAAGATCCGGGTTAGAATTGATCTTCAGCAACCATGCTTGTCGTAAGAGGCGACTAACGGGATCGGGTGGTCAGGCTCGCTGACTTGGTTGACACATGTCATCGGTTCCCATTTGCGTAGATCGATGCTCATGCTGTTGATCACTGGATTGTCTGGTCTAGACTCGATTATTTACAGACCGCCGCCATATAACTGGAATATTGCTAAGTGCGGCGTAAAACTAAAGTCACTCACTCACGTTGCAGCACCTTATGATTGGACAAGACGTGGCACTGTAACATAACGTTGTTTTCGAAATTGTTCACACTTAAAAAATATGAACAACGAAATGTAATACAACACAAAATGGCGGTCGATCAAACCTGACCTTTTCTTACAGCCAATGTCATATTCATTATTTTCTGATGGATTTTAAGCAGGTCTCGATCACGATCCATTTTAATTGTCTTTCTGTTTGGGTTTTAAGAAACACTACTTGAAACCGCTTTGAATATACATCACATTTGGGTTCTAAGTTCTAAGTTTGATGGGCGGTGGGGTAGTCTAGTGGTTAAAGCGTTCGCTCGTCACGCCGAAGACCCGGTTCGATTCCCCACATGGGTACAATGTGTGAAGCCCATTTCTGGTGTCCCCGCAGTGATATTGCTGTGGAATATTGCTAAAAGCGTCGTAAAACTAAACTCACTCACTCACTCGATATCAGTTTGATTCAACGACAGTTCTTCTCGGAAGGTCCGGGTTAGAATTGGTATTTAGCAATCCAATTGGGTTTGCTCAGGTTCGTTGAATTAGCTGATACATGTCATTCGATCCCATCCTTCCACCCTCGTATCTTCACAGACCCCGAAAATATTACTGACTTAAGACCACATTGAAGATTTTATTTTGCGTTGGCGGATCC